TGGCAGGGGAAAGCAGGGGAAATGCAGAATTAATATTTCCCTGTCTGTTTTCCAGAAGGGAAAGCAGCCGCTTTGGCTTCAGGATGTGTATAGACCTCTCAGTGCCACACGCAAGAAAAACCTGACACAGAAAACACGTGATCGAGATTCTTTGGATGAGGATCAGGATAACGAGTAAATGATTGGGGACAATTTAGAATTCCTCTCTAAAATGAGGACATGATGAATAATTTAACTGTGCCTTTCAACATTAAAAGCCTTGGCATTCCTATTCTTCCCCCAGGGAGCTCGTAGAAGTCGTAATAGACTAGAGTCCAGTTACAAAACAGTCTACTGATGAGCCAGGTGACGAAAGTGAGACAGCTCATGACAACACCTCGGACTGAACCCTGTCCTGCACGTGTTTTATAAAATTGGCATTTCAGCATTTTTGGTCTAATAGTTGTTTTTCTTGTATTAAAATATATAAATCTGGGCGGCTGGATAGCTCAGTTGGTAAGAGTGCGAGCTCTGAACAACACAGCTGCGGGTTCGAGTCCCACATGGGCCAGTATGTTGCACCTGTAAGCTGCGCCCTCTACAGCTAAGATTGTGAACAATGGCTCGACTTGGCGCTGGGCTGCTGAGAGTGGCCACCGGCCGGTGGACGGCATGAGCTGCTGTGAGCTACTGTAAGCTGCCGTGAGCGGTCAGCCTATGACCAGTGACCGACTGCCTTAGTCGGTTAGACTGCAATGATCATAATACCAACATGGGCCAGTGTGCAGCATCCTCCACTACAGACTGAGAACAATGGCTCGGAGGTGGGGGAGAGAAAAAAGGGGAGGGGAAGTGGGGGAAATATATAAATCCATAACCAACTCTGGCCAAGCAGTAAGGAATTAAAATATAAACAATTAAATCTTTGTATAAAATAACAAGGGTCGTTGATGAGAAAAGCAGGGCTGAGGTTTGACCCTGTGGTAGCCAGTACTTCCTCCAGAGGCAGTGCAGGCAAAGAAGCACGAAGAGGGGCTTCTCTTCCTCGTTTCCCCGGAATAGTCACCCCCTGGGAACTGGAGACACATCGTCCCTAAGGGGTGTCGGTTACTAAGTCAAATAACCACTCATTCAGGTGCTCTCTCCCCGGTTCACCAAGTACCAGTTATGTACAACATACTTGACCTCCTGCCCAGCGAGGACCATCCACTTCTGACCCCTCCCATGAGGTCTTTGGGGCTGCCGGGATATTTGG